ATCGAGTCCCGCATCGGGCTCCCTGCTCACTGGGGAGTCTGCTTCTCCCTCTGACCCTCCCCCCTCTCATGTACACTCTTTCTCTCTCATTCTCCCTCTCTCAAATAAATCAATCTTTTAAAAAGAAAGGAGGAAGAAAGAAAATTGACCTGTATTGAGGGTGGGCTGGGTGCGGGTCGATGTTGGTGCCAGCATATCACACCTAGGTCTCTAAATCTCCGCTCTTTTTGGCCGGGGCTGGGCAGGGACGACTAAGGAGGGCAGAGCTACTTCTTCAATGCGGCTCTCAACAGATCCTTCGCTAACACCCCGCTTTGCCTGCTCCCCGACTCGCCACCCCTCCTGCCGCCCCCGTCCCACCCCAGCGGGCGCTGAGTGCACTCACCCCTCGGCCCTCCGTCCCGCGCGCCCTGCTTGGGGCGCCCCCTCGGAACCCACGGGCTAGGCGCTTCCCCGGCGCAAAGCCCGCCAGGCCGAGGGACGCGCGCCCCGGCGATGGGGAGTTGGACGCGAGGTTCGACCGAGAGCGCGATTTCCGGGTGGAACCTTCCTCCACCACGACCGCGGCCCCTGCGCCTCCCACCCGGGGGTGACAGCGCGCTCCGCACAGCAGCTCGCCGCCGCGGCCACGGGTGACGTCGCGCGCCCAGGCTGGCCTCCCCGGGTGAGTGTGCGCGCGGGGCGCGGGCACCGCGCTCACCCCCGAGCCCTCCGCACCGGGAGCCTGGAGACCCTACCACCCGGCTCCGCCCAGCGCCCCGTCGCCTTCGCCCGCGCGCCCCCGCCCCGGGTCGCCCGGGCCGTCACCAGGAAGTCACCGTCCGCGCCCCAAGCTCCGCCCGCCGGCTGGCCGCGGGGACACGGAGCCCTGGGCGGGGGCGTTCCGAAAACCCCCGCCTTTCTCGTCGTGGCAGGGAATGACATCATCCCCCTGGAGCCCTTGCCCCCACGCCTTCGCCTGCCATGGCCGGCGTCCGAGCACTACTGAGGCGTCCCTGCCTGCTCTCGGCCCCCTCTCCTCCACACCCCAGCTCGGAGCTAGCGCATCCTGGCCCCCCACCCCCGGCCTCATTTCTTCCCGCGCCGAGCCTGCGAGGCCCAGAGCCAGGCTAGCCTCCTCTGCCTCAATTTTCCCAGTTCCTTCCTAGCATCCACCTCCTCTCAGATCCTCCAGCGCCCAAATCCTGAGCAAATCACCTTTCAGATGATAATAGATAGGATAAATGGATAGATGATGATGATGATAGATAGATGATATAGATAGATGATAGATTCATATCGATAGATGATAGTTGGACACATGAGCAATAGAGATAGATAAATGATAGATAAGTATAGATAGATAGAAAGATAGCGGATGGATGGATGGATGGATGGATGGATATATAGATACACGAATACATACAAAAAACCCCAGACTCCAGTCTGGCCAGAACAGTACCCAGTTTTCACAACCTGCTCGGTAGAAATGAAGCTGCAGGGTCCAAGCTGAATAAACTCTGCAAACTGTAAAGTGCTTCAAGCAACTTAGCCTGGACACCCAAGTTCTGCTTGCCGTTGGCTTGAGCCCAGCTCCAGTTCCGCTAGGCTTGCCTACCGGCATTGCCAGACCAATTCATCCATTCTTTCCGCAAGCGTCTGCTGACCTGCTGTGTAGTCACACATTGCTGGGTCCTGTCAGCCAGAAAGCAACAGGTGTGTGCTTACTTGCTGGGGGCTGATGTTCTGACATCAGACCCCCACACAGTAACTCCATGTGATAGGAGATGGATGGAGAATTATGAAACACACAGGAAGGAAAGCATTTGACCTGGGTTTTGAGAAATAGGTTGGGGAGAGTCCCAGGAGAAGGAAAGGCATTTCAGGCAGAGGCACCAGGATGTACCCATAGGAGTGGTGGGCCTGATCTCCTGGGTTGGGAGGCAGTTTGGTGGCACTGGACGGCCAAGTGGGTAGTCCACTGTGCTCAGAGAAGAGCAGGGAGCTGGTCGAGGCCAAGTTGAGAGGGGCTCCGACCATCAGCCTATCTCATCTGTTCCTGAGTCCTCTGCTAAACCTGTCCCCAGGCACCTAAGGCAACATAAATGAACCCTCAGGCCTCTTGGCCAGGTCTTCAAACTGTGGACACATACAAGAGTTTATCAGCCCTCTTACGGGAGGCGCTCCGGATGTCAAAGGGTTACACTGCTGTCAGCAGGCCCTCCATCTGTTTGACCTAAATCCCCCCACCCACCCAGGACTGCCTCCCCCTCAGGGTGACTCAGCTCATGGCTCACTTCCTGACACCAGCTGAGATGTGTAATTGGTTACCATAGTGATCCCAAGGAGCCAGTTCATACCTATCTTTCCTGGGTGTCTAAATTGCTCCTGAAATGAACGCCGGGGCACAGCTGCTCACCTGCAGAGGTATTTGACAGGCAGCATCTCCAGGCCTTTGTGCCCTGCATGAGCTCGGAACGGGGGCAATGGTAGGAAGGGGGGACCTCATGACAGATGCCTCCATCATGGGGATGCTAGGCTGGTACTTCTCTCCATACGATTCAGGTCCCCAGAGGGAGAGGGACAGAGAACAGGAAGGCAGGAGCTAGAACTACCATCAGAGTTTAGCGTCTGTAGAAAAACCAGGACTTTCCACTACTCCACGTAATGACACATATGTACCCTTCAAGAATACACTTAGGAGAGAGGCATACTTTTTTTGCCCAATGTTATCATTCTTATCAAAGTTACACACACACACACGCACACACACCTAAACACACACAGAACACCATAATACTATTCCTGAAACATGGTCCATTACTCTCCTGCCCCAAACCTTCAATAGCTCTCCAGTGCCAAGAAGGCCAACCTCCTCAGCCTGGCCCCAGCCTCCTTTTAAATCTCTCTCTCATGATGTGGCTAGTAACCATCCTTGCTGCCCCTGACAGAGTCCTGCCACCCCCAGCTCCACAGTCTCAGCAGAGTACTTCTTGCTTCCCATAGTTTCTTCAGCCACCATGCTTATCACAAGCTGACCCTCTGCCTGGACGGCCTTCACTCCATGCCCACGAACTCAAGTCATCCTC